TTAGGGCAGCACGGTGGCGCAACTGGTAGAGCTGCTGCCTCTCAGCGAGCAGGTCCTTGGTTCAAACCCCGGTCCAGGGGCCTTTCTGGGTGGAGTTTGCATGTTCTCTCCGTGCATGCGTGGGTTTTCTCCGGGTACTCCGGTTTCCTCCCACAGACCAAAAACATGCATGTTAGGCTAATTGGTAACTCTAAATTGTCCCTAGGAGTGAATGGTTGTTTGTCTCGTTTGTTTCTATGTGGCCCTGTGATGGACTTGCGACCCGTCCAGGGTGTACCCCGCCCCTCGCACAGTGATTGCTGGACATGGGCACCAGCGACCCCCGTGACCCAAAATGGAATAAACGGGTAAAGATAATGGATGGATGGATATATATATATATATATATATATATATATATCCATCACATTAGACTGTGTGTGTATATATATACACAGTCTAATGTGAACCTCAATGTTTTATTCATATAAATATATGTTATGTGTTTTATTTATTTATCATTGTTATTTATCAATGTTTTCTTTATTTATATATAGTGTGTTTGAAATTAAAATGTATTAATAAGATAATTGTATTTCTATTGTATTTTTATTGACATTTTAAATCATATAAATTTGGTCTTGGCCAGATGTGGCCCACATCTGGCACTTACATCTGGCCCACATGGCTCAATGAATGATGGGCCACCACTGGTCCGGGTCTGGTTTGCCAGAGGTCAAACGATATCTGGGCCAACTATGGGCCAGTTGGTGTGTCCTCATTTGGCCCACACCTGGGCCAGCCTTGGGCCATGGGGGGCCCGTCATTCATTGAGCCATGTGGGCCAGAAGTAAGTGCCAGATGTGGGCCACAGCTGGCCCAGACCAATTTTGCTATGTGGGTAGCTTATTTTTAGGTTTGATTTTTAAAATAATATTTTTGTTTAATTATAATTGTTTTGAATAAAGTTATTGCTTAGTAATTTGTTTAGTTTATATATTTATTTTTATTTGGGATGTGGGTATATTAGAGGTATAAATATGTAGGCTTTAGGCAGGATTGGAGGCACGTGGGTGGTCATATGGTTCATTACCAGTCGGAGGTGGAGCAACGAGAGAAGCAGTCCTGCAGGCTGTAGAGCAGGTGTGTCAGTGAGGGATCCTGTGATATGTATAAAACTCCAAAAATCTAAATGATCCTAACAGATTCTGGAAAACCATCAAATCTCTCTCAGGCAGCTCCCATTCATCTGACATCCCATCACAACTTCTCGTTAACTCTGTTCCTGTGTCAAATAAGCACGAGATCCTGAACTGTTTCAACAAACATTTTGTTGCTTCATTATTTGACACAATTACTAATGGAAAATCAGCCACTTCCCCTAATAACCAAACTTCTACAAATCATATATCTCCTACAAGTCAATCCTCGGTAAATCACACCTTTTCTCTTTCTCCATTCTCAGTCAGTGAAGTAAATATTTTTCATTCAATTCATTCAACCTTTATTTAGACAGGTAAATCCCATTGAGCCTCGAGGACTCAAATAAATTGTTAAAAGGTCTAGACCCCAAAAAATCTGCTGGACCAGATGAACTTCCACCTTATTTCTTAAGGCTGGCCGCTCATATAATCAGAGTACCAGTTTCCCACATCTTTAACCTGTCCATAAGCCAAAACTCCATTCCAGATGCTTGGAAAACAGCCTTTGTTCTACCTTTGTTGAAGGGAGGTGACCCCACCTCACTGAACAACTATTGACCAATCTCTAAACTTTGCATTTTAGCCAAGGTTCTAGAAAAACTGATAAACTCTAAAATCAAAAAAAATTTATCTGGACTCATTTAACATCTTACCTCTCCATCATTCTGGTCTCAGGAATCAACACAGCACAACGACTGCTTCACTGAAGGTTCTTAATGACGTTGTTGAAGGATTATTGTGTTGCACTTTTCTTAGACCTGTCTAAAGCTTTTGACACTGTGGATCATGACATCTTGTGTCATAAGCTCTCAGAAATCGGTTTCTCAGTCATTGGTTGGTTTTCTAATTATCTTTCAGATCGGAGGCAATGTGTTCAACATAATGGTATTTCCTCCAGTTATTTAACAGTTAACAATGGTGTTCCACAAGGCTCAGTCTTAGGACCCACCCTCTTTACAATCTACATAGGTAACATAGGTCAGAGCATCTCTGATTAGGGGTTGAACGACTACATAATTTTAAAACTCAACATTACCATAAAAAAACTCGAGTAGAACTCGAGTACTTGATGACATCATAGGATCTAAAGATACAAAAATAAATAAATAAATAAAACTGCAAAAAGGTAATTATTTACAAAAAAAAGACCAACAAAACATTGTGAGCATATATTATGCTCCTACCATTTATCATACTGCAAATAAGTCACAGGAATAACTAAACTATTAGTAATTATTATTAAGCTGCAAAGTAAAAGAAACATGCATCACATCAAGAACGAAACTAAAAACAGTGGGGGTGGGGGGGTCGTCCACCTCGCACCACCGCCAGCTGTGGTGCACATTAGGTTTAGTTTTAGAGATTAATATGTTTATAGATTTTTTATAGGTTTAGAGATTAATATTTTTTGCTTTTTGTTTGTGAAACAAGGTCAGAGGAAGCTGGTTCTGGTTCGGTCATT